CATAACATCATAAAAACAATTCTAAAATACACAGTGAGGCACCACCCAGGATACCGACAGCAATCCCCCTTCACTAGGCAAACTCACAGTCAGCAGGTACCAGGCTCAAAGTGAGAAAACAATCAGATGCCACCAACCCCCTGACCTAATGAACGACGCATCCAAGTTTAGGGCGCTACCTACAGCGGCTGCTTCCTAGCTAGACAAACAGCAACTACAAACCATCTTAAAACTTCAGCCACCGTGTCACGGCAGAAGCTAGAGAGACGCGGGACGGTCCACTTTGATCGCAGCCGATGAAGGGAGAGAAGAAAAGGCACAGGGAAACCCTCCAAGGACATTCCTCCCATAAAATGCATAACTCACAAATACAAAAACAAACATCTCTTCAGAGGCCGGAGCGCTGAGGTTGTCCTTGGCACCTTGGCCATGAAGTCACTGGTGATTTCTGGGAGGTGGAGCAGAGTACAGTCTTGGCTGGCTGGCTGCTCCACCCTTCCTAACAGGCCAGCCTTTTTTTAAAATAAAAAAAAAAATAAACCAGTATTTACACACCACACAAGTTGCCGGACCCAGGAACAGCTTGGCTAAATCTAATCTCTACCCTGGCGATAAGTAATTTGCCCTTCAAATTCCAAAAAGGCAGGCTTGGGATTTTCTGAGGCCCTAGAATTGTGTTGTTCCGTTCTGTGGAAGCTCTCTCTGGGCCCCGTGTCGGTCACACGTGCATTCAGATCTGCATCGGTGCTAAGGTCCTGGCTAAACCACAAGGACCCAGGGCAGAGGGAAACAGCTCCTAAAGAGCCTTGAACCCAAGGCAGGATGTCTTCACAGGCTCAGGACCTGATGCAGGCCTTTTACAAGCAGCGGTTTTAAAGTGTCCTCCACAGAAAAGTATGCGAACCCAGCGTCTGTGCTAAGGCTGGAGTTGAAAGGGTTCACCGAGTTTTAACGGGTATCTGAGGTTTTTACAACGTAAGTTTATATGAGGAGACACACTTTCCTTTCTCTGCAGCAGGCCCAGAATCTCACGAGAGCAGTGAAATAATAGCTGGAACACATTCGATCTGCTTTCTCTAACCTTGACAAGTCGCAGCAGCAATGAGAAAGAAGTCACTACACGCAGTTAAGGTCCCTAACCTCCTGACTGGTAGCTGCCTGCCCTAGACTGCGGTCCTTTCCTTTATGAGGTGGTTTAAGAACTGGTCACAGTTTGCCCTCACCAAGTGAGGAGGTAAAGCCTTAAATCTACCAAGTGACTTCCCTGAATGGTTCTTCGTCTACACACTAATGGTTTTTAAATGTTTGAGAAACTCTTGCCAAAACTAATGTCACACGAGGCCCTTCCTGTCCGTCGTATGAAAAGGAGCCATGCTAGCTCACTTGCTCATACCTAGGTGTGTCCAGACCTGCTCGGAATCATCACCTTGAGATCCGAGGGGATCCTGCTGTCTGTGGGCCGGGCCCTATCTGCTCATCACACCATCGACTCAGTAGCTGCCTAGGGATGAACACTTCAAGGGAAGCAAGATGTTGGTAATTCAGGAAATTGAATTTATTTTCATCACCCCCCTGATCACAGAGTCTATTTTCTTGCTTTTTCCGCACACAAAGGATAGAACTTTCCAGAATAACAAAACCTCTTGGCAATTGGCTCTCTAAAGACTCAACACAACAAACAACAAAATCTCCCCAGGGGCACAAATCTCAGAGAAAGGCTCCTTCCTTTAAAGGCCAGCTGTCACATTAGCTGGAGAGCTGGGACCTGGGGTTTTAACTTCAGTGTTAAACATGGTCAGCCAGGTATGGCGTGGAAAGAAGAAAAAAATAAAACTGCTCAAACAGATCAAAGAGAGGGATTTCTTCAGAAAACCAACAGCCTTGAGCATCACCGCTGTGTGAATACAGCCCACGTGCATTATTGGCTCCAAAGTCATTTTTCTAATATATCTCTCCATCACTGCATAGGTTCCAGGATCCTGGGTCCATCTGACACTGATGGCCCTAGCCCTCGGAGTGGGTAGCAGACAAAATAATCCAGCAAGTGGCGATATGGAACTAACGAAAAAAAGGAAGTTCTTTTTAGGCACAGTAAGACCTGGTCTAAACAGAGCTGGCAAGGTAGTTCAAAATCTACATATCGATGTCCTCATGTTTGATTAAAAGTCAAACACGGTGATTAAGGAAACCGTGCGTGGAAGCCAGGGAGGAGAATAGATTCCTTCTACAAAGACTCGGTTCAGGCACCGGAGCAATCATCCGAGCTCTTTCATTCCATCCCACGGGCGTATTATCGTTATTTAGGGAATACAGCGTCTCTCAGCATGTACTTAAAGAAGAGAAAGGATAAAAGAAAACATCATATCCCAACTCATTCCTTTAAAGGGAAAAATTTCAATTAGCCCCACTTTAGGGCTCTTAGGCCTCTTTTTATCTCTCTGGACTCCAGCTCTCCTCAGGACGGTCTTTCATCTCCTCTGCCTTATTTGACTATGCATGGAGATCCTCCCAAATTGCATATGGTATCATTACATCTGTTCTGTTTGCTAATATGGAGTCCATGTGCTTGATGGTTTGCCGGAGACCGATCAAGAATAACCCAAGTAAATATCTGCTTGTACTAAGACCTGGGCGCCAGCTTGCCCAGTCCCCCAAATCTTTCAGGGTAATATGTTGCCCACACTCCACTGAGGTTCTGCAAAATTTAGATTCCTATGAGATGAGTACGTAACAGCTGGTAGAGCCCTTGCTTACGGTCCTCCATCTGCAGGTCCCTCTGCAAGGGGTGCCCAACCTAAAGGTCACCCAGAGACTAAAAGTGATGGACTTTCCTTTTGAAGCTTAGAACATGCTAGCCCCCCTCCCTCCCAAGGCTTGGGCATTCTGTATGATTCTCCAGATCACCAGCTGTCCTGGATGAGGAAATCTGAGGTGATCTGACCATCTTGATTGGCCTCACGATCTGCAGTCTAGCGGTTACATAGATGCATTGGGGCTCCTGCATACAGGGCAGGATCCACTTGCAACTACTTCCTGGAAAGTCTGTTGCTGGTGGATCTTGTGAGACCAATTCTCTAGCTTCTTGTAGACACATACAGACTTGGTTTTTTTGTTGTTGGCATTGTTGCTGGTTTGCTGTTTCTTATTTTTGTTGCAACAGCAGAAAACAGACAGCAAGGGTCACTGAAGAAAAGCCTTTTAAGGAGGGCCACGAAAGGCATCAGGACAGTTCCTTTAGAAGGGGTGAGGCCACGTTTCGGAGATGAACAGATAGCTGGAAAATGATACGGTGCTTAAGAAAATACTAATTACAGTGATAGTCCTAACGTTGCTCCGCTCTATTGTTCTCCCTCTGTGCTCTCCATAAATGATCTCATTCAATATTCATCGTAGAATTTTGAGGTAGTCATGACTAACAGCCGCATTTTAAAAAGCGAGACAAGGCTGTTCAGGCAAACAAAGCAGCTTATACATGGCCCATAGCTGCGTTCTGAACTGTTTTCCTGAACTAAAGAAAGTCAAACTTCGGCGTGACTTTGGAAGTGGCATTGCCTAGGCTGGGACTCCTGCCTGACGTGGTGGAGCAGTGGGCTAGGGCCAGCCGGCTCTTCAGACACCAGCACTGTGAAAAGCGGATGGCTTACAGAGTCAGCGCTCTGGAAAGGGAAGCAGAGATAACTGGAGTTTAAATACGACTGTATCCTGCCCACAGTGGCAGGCCCGAGAGCAGAGAAAGGGAAGCGTGACAACTCAGTAACGTTGTCACTTAGGTCCAGCAATCGAGAACAGGCTTGCAAGGTGGTACGTGTGCGTTCCAGCCAAATATCATGACGGTCATCCCGAGGCATGTTCACCCAGAGGCCATCCACACTGCACCGTAAGCATTTATTAAGTGCACTTAATAGAATTAATACCGTCGTTACCCGCATGAGCAGTACGCTGCCGAGATACTACTATCCTGGGCACATACCCTGGACACGGTTGGTGGAAACTGTGCCTCTTTCTTTTTTTTTTTTTCGTTGGTTTGTTCTTTTGAGACAGGGTCTCACTGTGTAGCCCTGGCTGTCTTGGAACTCTCTCTTTAGACCAGGCTGGCCTCAAACTCAGAGATCCACCTGCCTCTGCCCCGTGTGCTGGGATTAAAGGAGGCAAACACCACACCCGACCTTGGAAGCTGCGTCTTAAATAGCCTCTCTCACCTGTTTTCAGAACCAATTACAGCAGTTAGCCATCCTCAGTTTCCAAAGAGAAATGCTGACCTCAGTGTTAGGAATTTTTTTTCTAACGCGAGCTCTCTGCCGATGCAAATTCCCAATCAAGCCAAATCAGAACAAGCCAAATTAAGAAATATCCAGGTTTAATGGGAGTCCTGTGCTCTCGGGTGGCCCCGAAAGTGACCACCAGGAGGAAGGAAAAGAGACCACGTGATCCTCTTTTGGGAGTTCACTTAAATACTCTGTGGGAGTAGTCCTGACCCCTGGGGGGGGGTCAGGACCTGGCATGCTGGGATTTGGAGTCCAGACCAATAAAACTCTCAGGCCTGGGGACTAGGATAGATGTGAGGGGCTGGGGTCTAGCTCCCAGCTTAACATTGAGTGCACTGGGAAATAATTAGGCAAACTCATCAGCAGACCCTGGTTTTCGTCATTTACATTCTCAGTAAGGAAAAACAACCGGTTTTCCTCGCAGGGTTACAATGATTTGTTCTATTGACGTATCTGCAGCATGGGAAAAAAGAACCCTCAGCACTTGCAAGCTGTTCCCTTATCATAACCTTCCTTCGGACTGAATACCAGAAACATGTGACAATCATGTCGGAGCAGTCGCCCTGCTCTCCTGGGTATTTTAAATGACTCACCCAAGATGGCACAACAAGATTAGGAGACTATTTATTGCTCTGTTGACTGCGGATGGAGAGCTCCCTTTGCTTGGAAGGTCACTCTGGTTGTGTTTTACCTTATGACAGTTACAGAAGTTAGGCAGAGAGAGTGGCTACTCACATTCTCCTTGTCGGGAATCCCTAGAGGGAGGAAAGAGAGACAAGAGAGGCCATGAATTGTGTGATCAACCTCTGCAATGGAACCAAAATCCTTTGCCGATAACACTTCCATGTTTTCGTTTGCGCACCCATGAAAGATCACATAGAGAGACCATGGCACCCATACATAGCTCTGAATCAATGCATCTCGGGAACAGAGCTATGTGTCCAGGAGCAAACACCGGGATTATTTTGTGTCCACCAGATGCTTTACCCTCCCAATGGTAAAAATCTCTCTGGGGCTCGTTGACACCAGGCAAGCAGCTAACCCACTGTCTGGATGCCAGCACGCTCAGAACTGTGGACAGATAAATCTATTCTCTAGCTGCGTGCACACATCTCTACGCTACAAACCATCTCCTTCTGCTCTAGCAATCTGAACTCTGGGGCAAGCAGCATAGGAAACCCACCAGAACGCAGGTTCTGCAAACAAGTTCCTTCCTGCTGTGCTCAGGCCAGGCCTGAGATAGCAGCGGCTGTTTCAAGACGAGGGTTATCTCAGCTCCCTTAGCTCAGAAAATGCACCAATGTTCCGTGTGCTCCTCTGTTCACCCATTTACAAACATTACGGGAGCATCCACCAGAGGCAGCTCCTGGTCTTTGTCTCTTGGTGGACCTTGGGCTGCCTCTGTGAAGCTACTATGGAAGGTGATTTTTCAGCCCTGCAGGTCTTGACAGTTGGGATAAGGCGTGAAGGGTCTGCCACCTTCTATGGGAGGCAAAGGCCACCATTAAAGAACTTTGCACAACAGGGGGGTAAGAACAGCTGAAAGAAGGGAAAGGAGCAGTTCAAAATTAAACGATAATTTATTAATCTTAGTGTGCGGGAGACTGAGCCAGGACGATTATGAGTTTGAGGCTAGCCTGGGGTACTTAGTAAGACTCTATCTCAATAAAACGGGGGTGGCGAGACGGCTCAGCAGGTAAAAGTGCTTGCTGCAAGCTTGACCTGAGTCCAATCCCCTGGACCCACATGGTGGGAGGAGAGAGCCGACTCCTGTAAATTATCAACTGATTTTCATGCATGTGGTATGGCACATACTTGCACAAACGTTCACAGAATAAACAAATAAACAAATAAATGTGATCATTGTTATTTTTAAAAAGACACCAAGACCGGATACAGTGGCTGCCACTTGACGGGGTCCAGTTCAGCAGCTGTGATAAAGATATTATATTTGGAAAATCTGAATATTGACTTGATAGTGGCTGTTTTTACCGGAAAGCATGGCAGCTCTTCCATGTGGTTGAAGTGCTGAACACACAAGGAAAAGCCTTTCTTTTCAAAAAGCCAGGGGCAGGGCTGTACCTGCAATCTTTGATACTACAGAGGCTGGGGCAGGAAGATGGCAAGTTAGGCTAGTCTCGGGTATGTGGTGAGATACAGTCTGGCCAGAAAGAGAGACCCGCGGAGAGAGAACCAAGTTCAGACTCCTAAGCTTTCAGGAGAAAGTAGAAAGACCATGGAAGTGTTGAGAGTAAAGCGGGAACTCCAGGGTCATGCAGCAGAGCCCTGAGGCCCAAGGGAGAACAGGGCCAGAAAGTTGTTAAATTAATAAGAATAGTGGGAGCCACTGAGGCTATGGTGACGGTCAACTGTGGAGCACTTCATTTAAAAGTATGGGGCAGAAGCCAGACTTGTGGGGCTAGTGAGTGGCTAGGGGTGAGGATGTGATGGCTAATACTTCATGCATAATTATCACGTGCCTGTCAGACTTTTGACACATGGCATGCGTTGATTCTTTTAATACTCATAACAACCCTAGGGGAAAATTGAGGCACAGTGCATCCGAGTGTCTTGCCTGAGGTCACATAGTTAGAGGACAGCACAGTTGATTTTTTTTCGGCTTGGACATTCCTAAAGAACCGGTTATTTCTAGTTCAGCCAAGGGGGAGGACAAAAAGGAAGAAAGAGAGAAGGAAGGAAGGAAAGAAAGAAAGAAAGGAAGGAAGGAAGGAAGAAAGAGAGAGAGAGAGAGAGAGAGGAAGGGAGGGAGAGAGAGAGAGAAAGGGCCGATGTTCCTTTTTCCTGCTTCCTTTTCAAGGAGGCAGACATGGGGAGAGGGCAGACATGGGGAGAGGGCAGACGTGGGAAGAGGCTCTAGAGACAGAGAGTGGCAGCAGCTCTCTCTCTGCTGTGGGACAGAAGGTAAGGAACCCTGAAGATTCTAGCCAAGCGAGAAGGTGGTCCCTGCAGAAACTAACAAATTGGAGAATGAGAGTGACCTTAAAGGAGCAAGGGACAGGGTGGAAATGCTGTTGGCCACGTCCATATCTAGCCATCAAAGTGTCGTAACTTCAAGTACTCCAAGCTCGGTACTTTGTTACACACACACACACACACACACACACACACACACACACACCCCTGCAACAGGGATAGGAAATAGAGAGTTGGCTCAGCAGTTAAGATCACATACTACTCTCTCCCAGAGGAATGAAGCAGTTCTTAGCTCTCACATCAGGTAGCCCGCAACTGCTTCTGGGAATCTGACGCCCTCTTCTGGCCTCTAAAGGCACCTGCACTCTTGTGCACACGTACATACATAAAAATAAGACAGTTCTTTTTAAAAAGCACCAGACAGCTCACCCCTCCCCTAGCTTTAGACCTCAGCCATGGGTGGATCTCTTAAAGGAGCCTGATTTTGTTTTGCTGGTGTACATTGAGCGTGCATACCATGCCACTTGACTGCACACACGTGTGTGAAGTAAATACCAGAGTTAAGCTATCTATGACCTTCCTGTGTGGGAGAGCACCCAGCACCTACCAAAAGCCTGGGATTGGAAGGGCCGTTTAAAAAGAACAAGTGAGTTCTGCTTCTCTCTTTGGTCGACAGAGCTAAAGTGAACAGATATGGTGTTCCTGGGGACCCCATGTGGCTGAGACAAGCATAGCTTGGGAATCCCGTTCTGAAAAGGGCACAGAATGTTCCAAGCATGCGGATGTCCAGTATGGAGGTCCCAGCCTGCACCAGAGTCGGCCACTTTCCGCTATGAAGACCCCACAGGACAGGGCACAGACCACAGGTGCAGGCTCTGCAGTGTGAGCTGCCAGTCTGGGACACACAGCAGAGTCAGGGTACCTCCTCTGTCATGCTGGTGTACAACACACACCTTTTTTTTGCCACATAAAAACACATACCACAAAACAAATTCTCAGATGCAAAATGCTCACACTTCACTTACTGTCATTGTTGGAGCCCGTTTCCATAACACCATAGGGAGGAGCCAGAAGGCCGGCCATATACTGTCGGTATTTCTGCAAGACAAGATTGTACAGTCAGCACACAGGTATTTGCTTGCTTGAGGCATTCATTTATTTACATGTTAAAGAGCAGAAACCCTGGGTATCAGGAAACCTGAGTCTCTTATTTTTAGAGCCAGGAAGTGTGTTCTCTGGGACTCTGGGTTTAAACTAAAGATGCAGGGTTCAGCCTGAGGCTTCGTGGGTTGAGACTGGATGTGTCCCCTGCCCCAGGCAGGGCCCCACCCAGCCACTTCATTTGTGTGTTACGCGTTCGTTGGGAAGGAATGGCGGGGTTCTTACCTCTCCCCACCCTGTAAACACAGGCACCCGAGAACCAGTGTGAGTTGACAGGCTCAGACACAGGCACTGTGCCGCCTGCCTCCGAGGTGAATGCCTCTGAATCAAGCTCTTTCAAAGCCAAAAGAAACGCAGCAGCTCTTGGAACAGGTCTCTTTGAAAAGAGGCTGACTCGCTCCCATTTACCTCCCTCCTTTTACGCGGTACACCTGTCTGCTACGTGACCTCCAAAGCACTTTTGTTACATCGTCAAATAACATCATTTGGCTTAATTTAGATGCTCCTGAATTGTCTGCCCCTGGCTTTTGGTCCAGACATGCTCGGAAACTTGGGGCTCCACAATATATGTGATTAGCCTCAGGAGTCTTTGCTGCGTGGGAGGCGTAAGGGTTGGTGAGCATCGGGCTAGAAAGGAGGGGCAGTTACAAAGAGCGGAAGGTGAATGCTCTCAGGCAGTAAATGTGGCTTCCTCCCAGGCAGAATGAAAGCTGGGCAATTTCACCGATCGTGTGCTATCACGTATACTTATGGTTTATAATTACCGTGGCACACATCAATGTTCAACGGCATCAAAAGAAGCAGCACCCCATAATATGTGTCATACAAACGCCAGCAGAAAGACTTTCATCTGTAGCAATGGGCAGCTGGCAACATGTGGTACCCCAACCAACCATCTGGCCCATTTGGAAGGTTTGAACAGTGTTGGCATGGTACTTTCTCTAAAGAGCCTTCTAGTCAAGATATGACTAGCTCCTCCCACCCTACTTTTTCCTTCCAAATAGGAAGCAACTATACCAGCTTGTATGTGTGTGCCAACGTTAAGATGGTGGTTTTTCCCCATCTCTGAGCTGATCACTCGAAGATACCTACAAGACTAACATGTCACCCAGTATCGCTGTCTACCCCCTGACAACCTCCCAGTTCTGACTCTCTTCTTTCTTACACTGACATTTACCCTTCTCTTTCATGGGTTGGCACTCTGGGCATTTAGCTAACTTGTGTTCTACATGGAACAGTTTCAGAGAGGGCATAAGAGATCTGTTTTATCCCAAGAAGCTTTGTGACCCTCCTTCAACCTTTGGAGTTCTTCCTCTTGTTCTTTGCAGTTCTCTTATGAGCTTCTAAAAGAAATCATTCCTGCTCAGTTTAAGGGGCCAGTTTGTTTTGCCTAGAAGTGTTCTCTTGGGACTGATGGTGCTATTTTCCTCTGCACGTCAACGCCAATTCCCATGGACTCAGGAAGCACCACTGACCTTCCTCTAAGCCCAGAGCACCTGGTCTGTGGCTCGGCTCCCCAGCGCAAATCCCTGGGGCTTCTGTTTTGAGGACAGAAACCAGGGCAGCCTCTAGGGAAGACCATATGGGCTAAATTTAGAGATGCGTCTTTGGAGTTTTCACCATAGGAGTGTGGTGTAACAGGCACTGGGCACACCGAGAGAATAGGAGACAAGGATCCTTGTTCTTGTGATGCATCAAATTACTGAAACACGGGGCACAAGGACTTGTGCTTACTGTATTAACTGCCCATTGTCCATGGAGTTCCCATCCCAAGGCCAACAATGGACACCTTCAATCACGGACTGCACTAACCTCTATCTATACTGTTTTTACCCATTCACACATATATACAGGGAAGTTTAATTTAAAAATTGGGCACAGTAAGAGATTTATGGCAACTGATAATACAAGAGAATGATTCTACTAACTCACTGCAATAAATGTCAGATGAATATGGTCTCTTCTCATTCGTTCCCTCAAAATATGTCTTTGTACCCAAGTGGGACTATAATGGATGGGAGGTAAGTAAGACCATGGGATGTAACATCACAGGCAACTACCATACATATTTAACACTTGGCTGTTGATTTCTAGCACACATTTAAACAGACAAAACACCGTGTATTCACATACATGCAATCACCAACTGGTGGCTGATGTTATCTCTCTATGCATATAACTGCTTATCCTTTAGAATTCTTTGGGGTTCAATTTTAAATATCACACAAATTAATCAGTAAATATTTCAGTAGGAATTTATGAAGGATAAACGCTTAAACAAAATCGCAGCATTGTCCAATCTTCTTAAAAGTCCATAATACCCAGTTGATGTAAGAATTCTCATTTCTTTGTAAACGTCATCAGTGAATTGAATTTTAAAAGTAGTTTATTTAATAAGACAAGAACTATTTAATACTACAACAGCTTTTGGTCTTAAGTGAAGACTATAAAGGCAGGCTT